TGAGCGCAACCTGCGCAACGAGCGCCGGGAGCGGTGAGGGAGCAGGCCCCGCCCCTTCTGAGGAAAGGCCCCGCCCCTGAAGGGAGAGTCGGGCCTCGCTTGTGTCTGGAAGGGAGGCGGGCAGCAGCCGCCCACTGGAGAAAGGGACCGGGTCGCGCCCCGCCTGCGTGCGAGGCGCCGCGCCAGGCTCTCAGGATGCTTTTTACCCAACAAGGGCCAAGCAGGCGCGGGTGTCCCAGGAGCTGAAGAAGGCTGCCAAGCGGACCGTGAGCATCAGCGAGTAAGAGTGGGGATGGGCCGGTCCGACCCTTGTGTTCTGCCTCCCGGCCCCGCCTGCCTGCGGCGACCCAGGCCGCCGACTGTAGTTGTGCATAGCCGCGTCCCGAGGACCCCAAGTAGTCGGGGCCCACGGGACACCTGCAGACGACCGTGTGGTCGTAGGAGCCTGCATGCGTGCCCGCTGCACGTGTACCCACACAGAACCCTCATCACTGAGAATTCCTGTCTTTAGCATGTCCTGTGCTGGGGTCGGGAGGGGCTGGCTTGGTCCCTTGGCGTTTCTGAGCTTAATTTCTCCTCCTAGGGGTCCGGACACTGTAGGCGATGGGATGAGGGAGAGAACCGAGACTCTGGCTCTAGCCCCTGAGCCAGAGCCCCTGGAGAATGAAGCTTGTGAGAAGTGGAAGAGGCCCTTCAGGTGAGGACCCAGGTGGTGGTCTCAGAGCTCTGAGCTCAGCCCCACCCCAGAGGCTGCCAGGGTCTTCCTCTTGGACCTTGGAGTCAGCTCTTGGGTTGGGAGGGAGCTTGAGGACAGGCCAGAAAGCTCAGATCTCCTAGGGCTAGTCTGACCTCCATTGTCTGGAGCCACTTGTGGTCAGTTCCATCTCACCCACCCCAACCCCTACCCTCAACCCTTTCCCTCCTTCTTGGGATCAGAGCTCTGGGGGTGGGGTGTCAGGCTTGTGAATAGCTGTCACCAGGAGGGAACCTGTGGGTAAAGCCCAGAGCCCAGTCATGCCAGGCATGTGTGTGCAGCCATAGGTGTACAAGCATGTGCATCCACAGGGACATGAGACACAGGTGTGTACAAACTTGACTAAGCCCGTCTGTGTGTGAACGTATGAGCATGTGTAGATGTGCGCTAACACTTGTGGGACCTGACTGGGGCTTCAGACCTTGGGTACCCCTCCGCAGGGTCTCCCCTCTTGATTTGCCTGTCATTGAGGCTGCCCCTCTCCGGGCCCCATTCCCCAGCCTAACGCCTCTTCTCAGTCTTTCCTTGCAGGTCCCCAGTGTCCAGGCCTTGGGGCAGTGAAGAAACCGTGGGGAGGGGCATGAGATGCTGGTCCCCAAAGTCCTTGGGAGCCCTTGTGGGCCAAGTAATTGCAGGACACACCCTCTCCTGGGCATTGCTGAGGTCACCCAGCAAGCCTAGGCTTCCCCCTCCTTTCCCCACCCTGGGGGAACCTTCAGCGCCTCTTCTCTGTAGGCCCCAGCTCAGCTTCCCAGGAACTTTTGTTGGTGGGTACTTGTAGGGTGAGGCAGTTCTTCTCATCATGAGGGAGATCTTGGGAGACTTTCATTACCAAATCCATTGCTGCCCTGACCTTCCTGGGACTGGTCTGGGTCATCCTAGTCTCCTGGTCTTGGAGAAGTCAAGTTCTTGTCCCAGACTTGAGAGGTTACGAGCCTCCAGGTCTCTGGCAAAGTGTGGAGATGATGGACAGCCATTTGTACACACACCAGCCAGTCCCTTAGCACATCTCTCTCGGTTTTGTCTCAGGTCTGCCTCAGCCACCTCCCTGACGCTGTCCCACTGTGTGGATGTGGTGAAGGGGCTTCTGGAGTAAGTGTGTGTGTGCCTGTGTGCACCCACGTGTGTGTCAGGTTCCCCAGCCCAGGCTTGGTCTGTGTCTGCGCCTCGACCTGTCCATCCTTGTGGTGCGCAGCTGTCTGCGTGAGTCTGTTGGGCCCTGGAGACAGGAGCCAGGTGAATGGCCTCAGCCCCAGCCCCTGCTCAGCTGTCTTCCAGGTTCTGTCATCACAAGGGTCTGTCTTCATCCAAGGTCCTCACAGGGGACCAAGAGCTCCAGCCTCAGGCAGGGCAGGAGCTCCTACTCAATTGGGAAAAATGCTCTGAATGAGCATTTTTCATTCAGAGTCACAGAGCCAAGAAGTGGCAAGACTGGGATTGAAACCCCAGCCCTGAGGTTTCTTTGCACCTACCAACCCTACCCTGCTCCTGTGCCTGCCTCTGTGTGCTCTCCACACTGACCCCTGGGGTAAAGGCTGGGTTGAGGAATGCGCTCGCTGCTTCTTGGGGCCATGTTCTGCCTCCTGCCCCATCTGCTTCCTATGGTTGATGCCTCAGGGGAGCTGAAGGCTCCCACCTGAGAAGGTCTTGCTGAATGCCCTCCTGACCCCAACCCACCTTACGCCCAGTTTTAAGAAGAGGAGAGGTCACTCAATTGGGGGAGCCCCTGAGCAGCGATACCAGATCATCCCTGTATGTGTGGCCACCCGACTTCCTACCCAGGTTCAGGATGTGCTGGTAAGGGAGGAGCTGAGCCATATGGGTGGGGCAGTGGTGAGGAGGTGCAGGCACAGGGGTGGTCCCAGGAGGCTAGGGAAGCAAGGCTGGGCTCCTCAGCAGGAGCAGGAGGCTGCCTCCCACAGCCTGTGGTGGGAGTCACTTACGCATGTTATGATGGGGGAATGGGCCAGAGAGGGAGAGAGAGGAGGCTGGGAGGCCAGGAGGCCAGGCAGGAGAGTAGAGTAGCATAGCACGGAGGCTGCTGCAGGGGTCCTGGCAGAGGCGAGAACACCTGGTGGGGCCGGGTTTGAAACTCAAAAGTGTAGACAGAGAAACCGGGGATGGTGATACCATGTCTGCAGCAGGCTGTGTCTGCACAGGCACTGGTGGGAAGGCCTGTGAGCACTCACAGAGATATGTGTGGGGAGGGCTGGGGCACCAATCTCCTCTTTCCCCACAGGATGCCCACCTCTCTGAGGTCAATGCTGTTCGTTTTGGCCCCAACAGCAGCCTCCTGGCCACTGGAGGGGCTGACCGCCTGATCCACCTCTGGAATGTTGTGGGAAGTAAGGAGCCCTCCCCTGCAGGCCAACTCGGGGCTTCTCTCCAGACCCGCTCCTCAGTTCACTTGGTGGGCAGAGGTCTTGGATCTCTTTGTGTTTCTCCATCTGGAATATTCTGTGGGCAGTGACTAGACAATGCCTTGGAAAGAGTGAGACTCGGGGCTCGCTGCTCTGAAGAAGGGTGGAGCCTCCTGGCTCCTAGGGTCCAGATTTGCAGAATGGGGAAGGCTGAGTTCAGATAGTCCCTGATGGGGGTGGGTGGGGGTCCCCTATCATGAGGTCCTACAGGGACAGGCCCTTGAAGAGCAGGTCCCTGAGTCTACCAGGTGATCCTCTTGTAGCATCACTTAAGCTCTCAGAACTCAGGTAAGGGACAAGTATGAACTGTTGGCCTTGTCCCAAGCTCTGTGCTCTGGAGAGGGGGTGTCCTGGGGAGTCAGAGCTGGTTCCTGGGGGCTTCCTAGAAAAGGCAAGTTTCTGGCTGGCCTGATCCTGGCTTGCTGCATGACCCACAGATAGTCCCTTCTTCCTGGTCCTCTCTAGCCTGGTCTGTGAAATGACTAGCTGTCCCTGGGACCCACTGCCAGCAGTTAGGGGAGGTGTAGTCTCCAGCCCAGGCCACAGAACAGACCCAGCGATTCTGTCTTCTAACCTGTGGGGGTGGGGGGGGCAATGGGGACTGATCTTTGCTCTCAATCCCAATTCCTCCATTTTGTGAGGTTAGGATCTCATTTCAACTGTCCCTTCTCCTGGTCCTCCCAGGTCGCCTAGAGGTCAACCAGACCCTGGAGGGAGCTGGTGGCAGCATCACCAGTGTGGACTTTGACCCCTCGGTGAGGAACTTTGCCCCAGTGGCATGGGATTGTGCCCCTCTGATCTCCACACTGGACAGGTGGGGGCTCTGGGACCTGAGGGCGCAGCATGGATACCTTAGAACCAGGCCCTTGGGCTCTTACACAGATCCTCATCCCTGGGCCGGAGGCTCCTCTGCCTGCCTTGGAGACCTGGGCTGTGGGAAGCTCTGGGGCAACCCCTAGCCTCATTCTCTGGTCCGAAGGATGTTGCCTACGGCTTAGCACCTCTCATTTTCCTCTCCCATTTCTCCAGGGCTACCAGGTTTTAGCAGCAACTTACAACCAGGCTGCCCAGCTCTGGAAGGTGGGGGAGGCACAGTCCAAGGTGAGGCCTGACTGGGGAGGCTGCCTGGGGGTCAGGGGTCATACGTCAGGACTAGGGGGCCTGTTATGGGGTCTTGGCCAAACTCTTGATCCGCACCTGGGGCTGGGGTACAGGAGACACTGTCTGGACACAAAGATAAGGTGACAGCTGCCAAATTCAAGCTGACAAGGCACCAGGCAGTGACTGGGAGCCGTGACCGGACAGTGAAGGAGTGGGACCTCGGCCGTGCCTACTGTGAGCCCCAACCCCACCTCCCCTCCCCACCAGCCAGGAGCCCCAGGCCAGGGTACAAGGGACCTCACCTGCTCTCTGGGAGTGGCTCTGAGATTCATAGGCATTTGGGGGTGAAACCTCTCAAGGCCCTCCAGTCCCCCAATGGTATCCCCCAATGGTGTTTTCTGCCTGGTTTCTTGGTGTCCACAGGCTGTGGGTGGGAAAAAGACGTGGGTGAGCCCTGGGCTGGGAAGCAGAAGACCTGGGTTCTAGTCTTGGGAGGACACTGCGTTCTGGGCCTCAGCTTCTCCATGTGTCCTGTGGGGTGGCTCCTGACAACCCTCCTCTGAGGCCCTGGGGTCTGCTGCTTGGTCCCCAGGCTCCAGGACCATCAATGTCCTTTCCTACTGTAATGACGTGGTGTGTGGGGACCATATCATCATTAGTGGCCATAATGACCAGAAGATCCGGTTCTGGGACAGCAGGTGACAGGCGCAGGCTGGGGGAGGACTGGGGGAGGGCTGGGGACAGGGCTCCCAAGTTCTTGTTCCTTTCTCTGGCCATGGCAGGACGAGTTTTGGTGGCACTTTGGGCAGGCAAGGCTGTGGGGCTGGCACTGCCAGCTAGTGCCTCTTGGCTGGGCTCAGCTCCCCCAGGAAGCTGTGCCACTGTCTTCATGGCTCTTGGTCCAATGCTGGACTCCACCTGGACCTTGCAACCAAGATGGAGATGTACCTTTTTCCATTTAGTTACCACTTTTATATCAAAAGGAAAAAAATTACTGTAGTTGTTTTTTAAACCAAAGATCCTAACTTTGGGCTTGAATTGTTTGTAAGAGCAAAGCTAGAGGCCGGGCATGGTGGCTCACACCTGTAATCCCAGCTTTTTGGGAGGCTGAGGTGGGCGGATCACCTGAGGTCAGGAGTTCAAGACCAGCCTGGCCAACATGGAGAAACCCTGTCTCTACTAAAAATATTAGCTGAGTGTGGTGGCAGATCCCTGTAATCCCAGCTACTCGGGAGGCTGAGGCAGGAGAATCGCTTGAACCCAGGAGGCGGAGCTTGCAGTGAGCTGAGATCCGGCCACTGCACTCCAGCCTGGGCAAGAGAGCCAGACTCCGCCTCAAAAAAAAAAAAAAAAAAAAAAAAAAAGCAAAGCTAGAGCCAGTGCTAGGCCTGCCTCAAGCCTTTACTGACTGATCTCCATCAACTACTGTTTGCAACCCTTTCTTCTCTCTCTTACATTTTTTAAAGACAAGACTTCATTGCTCAGATGATATGGTGCTTATTTTAGTGACCCAAAGGTTTCAAGGGCTCTGGCTTTCAAATCAAAGTCTAAGTTCCTCGATGGAGGCAACTGGCTGCAGTGGGGAGAAGGGAGATGAGTCACGGGCAGCCTTTACCCCAGGGATCCAGGGCCCTGGGGTTCCTCTGGACTTGGTTAGCTGGGAAGGCTGCTATGCCTGACCCCTTCCTGTCAGGAGTGGCCTGGCTGGGCTGTTCCTCATCCCTGTCTCTGTCCTTGTTCCTCAGGGGGCCCCACTGCACCCAGGTCATCCCTGTGCAGGGCCGGGTCACCTCCCTGAGCCTCAGCCACGACCAGCTGCACCTGCTCAGCTGTTCCCGAGACAACACACTCAAGGTCATCGACCTGCGTGTCAGCAACATCCGCCAGGTGTTCAGGTACCAGCCTCGTGCCTGCTGACTCTGTGGCCTTTGCTGGGACAGCTGAGCCTCTCTTCTCCTGTAATAGACCCTCTTGGGACCCTCCCTGGAGGCCCCTCCAGACCAGGTCCTGCTGAGGTACCAAACCCCTTGACAGAGTGGAAGCTCTGGAAGCTCCCTGCAGAGGGACTAGTGGTGACCTCTGTTCTGACCCCAGCCCTGTCTGTCCTCAGGGCTGATGGCTTCAAGTGCGGTTCTGACTGGACCAAAGCTGTATTCAGGTATGTCTGTGAGAGCATATGCCTGTGTCCAAGTGTGCCCTGCTGGACCCTGTGTGTGCCCTCCTCTCTGACCCCACCCCCACTTTTTTTGCTCTGCTGTGGCCACTACAGCCCGGACAGAAGCTATGCACTGGCAGGCTCCTATGATGGGGCCCTTTACATCTGGGATGTGGACACCGGGAAACTGGAAAGCAGACTTCAGGGACCCCATTGGTGAGCATGGCCTCCACCTGGCCACCTGCCTGGCCCCAGTCCTGCCAGGCTGATTCCAGGTTCTGACATACTGGGACTCTGGAGTCTCCAGCCCTTGTCCCTCCACCCTCCACCCGACCAGAGCCCTTTGCAGTTCACAAGGTACTTTCCACACACACTGGGTCTGTCCTTTCCACAGCTCTGTGAGCTCACTTTACAGATGAGGAAACAGGCTCAAGAGAGGGCCTCAAACTACCCAGGTCCAGCAGTCGGGGCAGAGCCAGGTTGCAGGCATAGTTCCCAAAGCCCCCCTGAAGCCTGCCCCTCCCTTTCCCCAGCACTGCTGTCAACGCTGTGGCCTGGTGCTACTCCGGGAGCCACGTGGTGAGCGTGGACCAGGGCAGGAAGGTTGTGCTCTGGCACTAGGGCCACGACTTCCCTGCCTGGGCTGGAGCTCTTGCCCGAAGCCTGAAGCTTCCCTCGGCGCCGTGCGGGGGTTGGGGTTGGGACTGGAGATGGCCTTGGGATTTAATGGGGAAGAAGGCCTGGCAGGACCTGGCCTGTTTGTTTAAAAATGAAGCTAGTTTTTCTTTGTATTTTTATCTCTATCTCCTCACTTTTTCTCCCCAAGTAGAAAAAAAATGATATCTAAACTGCGTCTGCCTGCCTCTTTGCAGCATTCATGATATGGAGACCTTTGGGCTAGTGGGCTCTGGGAGACCCAGGTTTGGCCCCCTTCCTCCTTCCATACAGAGCTGGGGCAGCCAGCCCAGTCTCTGCCTGCGGAGACAGGTGCTGCTCAAGTCTAACCATGGAAACAGCAGGAAGAAAGGCCCTGAGGTGGCAAAGAGCCATGGATGTGACTCCTGGTCCAACCTGGTCCTGAGGCCTAAGCAACATGTTAGGCCCACCTGCTTCAGGCACCCAGGGTAGACTGAAGCTGAGGAGGGGCTGGGGGAGCTCTGAGGAAGGGGCAGGGAGGCAACCCAGAGGGGTCCTGGTGGGAAGATCCTAAAAACCCAGGTAGTGATATCAAAGTCCTTGGTCCATGGGGCCTCCCTTAGACTGGGTCTGCGTTCTTCCTCCAGAGGTAGTGCCCAGGGTGGGGCAGAGTAGGGCCTCTATGTGTCTGTGCCTGGGGGAGGGCAGCTGTGGGCCAGACCTGGGCCTGGGGCTTTGCTTACAAGGCAGAGCCCACAGGGCAGAGTTGGGGCAAACCAACTTCCTTCACACCTAGGACTGGGCACAGGCCTGTGGAGACAGACAGTGTTGGTTAAATGGCAACACCTATACTGTTGACTTCCAGACCATTCACTACTTTTGGTTCAGCTGCCTCCTGGCCATCATCTCCCCTGCAAGTGATCTGTTCCTCCTGCACCCCATGTCCCTGGGACCTTGTGCTGCTGGATCTAGTACTCCTCCATCCCTCCTGCCACTGTGGGCCACCTTCTAGACTTGCAGTCTCCCCATCCAATCCTTTCCCTTACTATGGCCAGAGCGACTTTTTTTGTTGTTGTTGCTTTTGAGACACACAAAAAACCTCACTGCAGCCTCAAACCCCTGCAGCCTTAAACCCCTGAGTTTAAGTAAGCCTTCCACCTGGTCCTCCCAAAGGGCTGGGATTACAGGTGCACAGCACCATGCTTGGCCCAACAGGGTGACTTTCTAGGGTGTCGTGGTCACAAGTCCAATCCTTTGGAGTTCCCCTGCTGCCTTTAGAGACCACCCCCAACCCCAGCATGAAATTTGGAGCCCCTGGGATGTGACTCTGCTGGCCTCTCAGCTGCCTCTTATTTCCTTGCTATTCACTCATTCATTTACTCATTTAGAGATGAGGTCTCACTATGTTGCCCAGGCTGGTCTGAAACTCCTGTGCTCAAGCGATCCTCCTGCCTTAGCCTCCCCGGTAGCTGGGCCTACAGGTGCATGCCACCGTGCCTGGCTATTCCTTGCTATCATGAGTGCATCTCAGACATGCTTTTCTTTCTTCCCAGAATGTTCTCCTTCCCTCCCAGCCCCCAATTCAAATTTTTCTTTCAGGATTCCCCTTCCTTTGCCTGCCAAGCTGGGTAGAGGCCTCCTCTGTCTCTGAGCTCCCCTTTTGTATCTGCCTCCCTCCATTTTAAGCCAAGGAATTCTTGGAAGAGGCTAGGATAGGAATAGATTTATTCCCTGGGATCAGGCCTGGCACAGAGAATGACTCAGGAAATGTTTATTAAGTGGTTAAATTTTCTTATTCAGGCTGGGCGTGGTGGGATCACACCTGTAATCCCAGCACTTTGGGAGGCCGAGGAGGATGGATCACCTGAGGTCAGGAGTTCGAGGCCAGCCTGAGCAACATAGTGAAATCTTGTCTCTACTAAAAATACAAAATTAGTTGGGCGTGGTGGCACATGCCTGTAATCCCAGATACTTGTGAGGCTGAGGCAGGAGAATCACGAACCCAGAGGAGGAAGTTGCAGTGGGCCGAGAATGCGCCATTGCACTGTAGCCTGGGCAACAAGAGTGAAACTCCATCTCAGCAACCTTCTCTTATTCAAGGACTCAGCCAGTCTAACAGTCTAAGAGTCTTGGGTTCCAACATTCTTCAATACTGAGACTTCTACTCTGCCCCAGCCCTCGTGCCCTGGCTCCCAGTAGCCACCAGGGGTCACCAGCTGCCTAGTCTACTGTGGCCATTCCAATTTCCAGGGACACACAGCTGGGGAGACCGACACTCCTACAGCCACCGTGACTGAGCCCTTAGGAGATGCCAGGCCCTGCCCTGCACCCTTTTTGCAGCGTTATTTGTTCCTCCCAACTGCACTGCCATGTAGATACCATGTTTCCCAGGTGAGAAAACTGAGCTCAGAGAGGCCCTGCAGCTGGACTGTGGCTGCATTACACACACTCTTTTTAAAGCAAGGTGTTCAGATTCCCAATTAGGCAGGGCTGCGGGGCATGCCCCCTCCCCCAGGGTGTGCCCCCTGCCTGACACCACGGGGGTAGAGGTGTGATGCTAGCCTTGTGTCTAACCTGACTCCCTCCCTGCATCTTTGCCCTTTTCTATTCTGGGTCCTGAGCCTGGACAGTTAGTATCCCTTGAAGTGAGGGACATGCAGGGACACGGGAGTGAGGGAACTTGAATCCTGGGAGGCCAGCTGTGCCATTGTGTTTCTCCCCCATTTCACAGGGTTGCAGTGGAGACTGTGCTTAGAGAGCCCAGAGGAGGTGCTCAGGAAATGGTCTGACTGATCTCTGGGACGGTGATCCCTCGGCTCCACCAAAGCCTTCCCTTGTACCTTAGGGGCGTCAATCTTACCACACACGCAGCTGCTGTCACGTGGAGTTGCCTCTCTCAAGGAGCACATGTTCACCTTAACTTGCTTGGAGGTCCCCCTCCCAGTAGGACGGGTTGATTCCTGGAGGAACAAGTCTATAAGGCCAGAAACAGGCCAAGGAGTTCCCGGTAGGCAGGAGGAAGAGGAGCTCACAGACTGAGCAGAGGAGTTCAGAGGGGCATGTCAGCAGGAAGGCTGTTCCTCCCTCCAGTCTCTTCAGTCCCGTTCAGCAGAGGGGTGAAAATGGATGCTGACAGCTCCTCCAGGCTCTCAGCAGTCAGTGCTCAGGTTTTCAGGACTCTGGTGCTCAGGGGCTGCCTGCCTGAATTCGGGTGCCTAGGTCAAATCTGGAATGGCCCGCACTCATGGGTATAAAAACTGAGGCCCAGAGATGGGGCAGCTCCCTTGGCTCACATAGCAGAGCTGGGTAAGAACCCAGGCCTCTGATGCCCACTTTTCTAAAAACTGGATTCAGATTCTTCAAAGAGGCTGACCAGGGCTTCTGGAGGCCTAGTTCTGGGCTCTCCAGTTCTGTCTTCCTGGGAGATCTTGGGCAGGCTCTCATATTCCTCACCTGTGAAACTTCCTGCCCCAAGCCTCCCCAAAGGCGACACGGCTCTTCTGCAGAGCTGTTCTGTAGGCATGAGGACCATGGCCTCTGCCTGCCCTGCCCAATCTCAGGTCTTAGTGAGCCTGAGACCCCAGGGAGGGAGAAATGACAGATGCCCCTATCCTGTGCTCCTACTGCCCCTTGGTCATCTTTCAGTCTCTGGCTTCATTCTGCTGTTGCCCTGAATCTCTCCTGCCAGATGCAAGCCCCTCAGTGACAAGGCTCCAGAGACCTGAACATGACCTGCGGCAGCATGTTTGCTGAATTGAATAGAGGTGGTCTCTGGAGAGGTCTGACACCATCAGATGTGGACCCATCTGTGAGATTCAGACATATCCATGCCTGCATATAGGCTTTTCCACTGGAGGCACATTCACTCATCACAAACATTTTCAGCTTATCTGTACATTACCCTATTTCATCCTCCTGGATCTTAGAAGTTTGTACTATCTACTTGTTCCTACTTTACAGATGAGGAAAGCAGGGTCCAGAAGGTGAAGGGATGAGCCTGAAGTCACAGCTAGTCTGAGGTGGGCTGGGGATTGGAATACATTTCCTTTGGCTGTGCTCTTTTCTGTTCTTCACAGGAGCAAGTGGTGAAGAGTGAGTTCTATGCGCAGTGTAGAAGGGCTGTGAGCCCTGTCCCTGGGTTCATTTCTGTTATGTTTCAGCATAAAACATTCCAGGAAAGGCCGGGAGCGGTGGCTCATGCCTGTAATTCCAGCACTTTGGGAGGGCGGGGCAGGTGGATCACCTGAGGTCAGGAGTTCGAGACCAGCCTGGCCAACACGGTGAAACCCCGTCTCTACTAATAATACAAAAAAATTAGCCGGGTGTGGTGGCACATGCCTGTAATCCCAGCTACTTGAGAAGCTGAGGAAGGAGAATCGCTTGAACCCAGGAGAATCACTTGAACCCAGGAGGCAGAGGTTGCAGTGAGCCGAGATTGCGCCGTCGCACTCCAGTCTGGGTGACGAGCGAAACTCCGTCTCAAAAAAAAAAAAAAAAAAAGTTTTCCAGGAAAAGATTCCCAGACCAGAGCTCTCAGAAACAGGCATGGCAAGAGTGTGTTTTTTGGCCTCTGGGACCGAGGGAAAACAGTCTAGGAACAAGATGCTCTTTGGCATTCATTTGGTTCTTGGCAGATCGAGCAGTAACAAGGCAAACACAGGAAGATTCTAGGAGGAAACTTAAAAGTTGCAGGATTTGGGGATAAATTACAATCCTCCCGCTTCTAACCCTAAATTTCTGTAATTTAGTTATATTTATGTCATGGAAAACAACTTCACAATGAACAAAATAAATGCGAAGATTCAGAGCAGCTGGATTTCATCCTAAGGCCACTGGGAGAGGGCTGGGCAGTCATTGGCCACAAAACCAAAAGCTGCGGCTGGGTTCTTCAGGCAGTGAGTGGATACAGCAGCCTGGGATGCAGTTGCAACCTAGAGGATAGTGGTTTATTTTGTCTGAGTTCCCAGTGGGAGAGTCCAGTGGCTGTTTTCTTTTCAATTTCTTGCCATCCAAAGAAGTCTGTGTATTAGTAAGTCTGATTTCAAATATTGTGACCTTTTTTGTGTGATGTTCTCTGTATCTAGAAACTGAACTCATCCAGGGCATGCGAATTAGATAAGCCCTTGGAGATCACCTCATTTCATTCCTTTTTTTTTTTTGAGACAGAGTCTTGCTCTGTCACCCAGTCTAGAGTGCAGTGGTATGCTCTTGG